TAAACATATAATTTAAGGTAACAGATTGTTTTGGCGTTATAGCGGTTCTTGAATAATGTTACTTCCAGCTAAAGTTAACTTTGATTGATTCACCTCCGTCGAAATGATCAGACTTTAAACGCGAACCTGTGATTAACGCTGACGGCGTTCACATGCTCATTCAGAATTCTATAGTTATGTGCTTTTTAAAATATGTGCGCAGGTTTGTAATTCATACAACCCAGCCTAAACAAACTACTTTTCTTGCCTATAAATTTTGATACAGAATTTTTTTTATTTTATCACTTCGGGGTACGCGAGCCGGAATTCACAGCGCTTTATCTGTAGAGTGGGAAAGGGATCCTCCATAGGGAGAGGATAGTGGATACTTCAGCACTGCATTGTCATCGGGTCCAGGCGAATCTCCTTCGTCAGATCTGGACACGGCCTGGATCCGGCAGGCTGCGGGAAAACCTCGGGATAAACAAAGACACTAATATTAGCGTAGATGCCATTCTTCTTATGATGTAGCGAGTACATCAAGATTTAAGGGAAGTGTTCCCAGTTCCGGCTGACCTAATCTATGCAGCCTAACATTGAATTTATAGAAGTCTATAATGTATTATGTGTATGCTAGGTCAAAGAGATGTGTTTTTAGTCTAGCTTTGAACTGACAGAGTGTGTCTGCTTCCCGGACAATGGTAGGAAGACTGTTCCAAAGTTTTGGTGCTAAATAGGAAAAGGATCTACCGCCAGCAGTCGATTTAGATATTCTAGGTATTATCAACTGGCCGGAATTTTGAGATCGCAATAGACGTGAAGGACTATAATGCGTTAAGAGCTCGCTCAAGTACTGCGGAGCTAAACCATTTAGTGCTTTGTAGGTAATCAACAATATTTTAAAATGTATACGATGTTTAATAGGGAGCCAATGCAGTGTTGACAGAACCGGGCTAATATGGTCATATTTCCTGGTTCTGGTAAGAACTCGAGCTGCGGCGTTTTGAACTAGCTGTAGTTTGTTTATTAAGCGTGCAGGGCAACCACCCAGTAGAGCATTACAATAATCTAGCCTTGAGGTCATGAACGCATGGACTAATTGTTCCGCATTTCCCAATGAGAGCATATGGTGTAATTTAGATATATTTTTAAGATGGAAAAATGCAGTTTTACAGATACTAGACACGTGGCTTTCAAAAGAAAGGTTGGTATCAAATAGCACACCCAGGTTCCTAACCGACGACGAAGACTTGACAGAGCAGCCATTAAGTGTTAGACAGTATTCTGGGTTATTACGTGTGGAAGTTTTTTGTCCAATAATTAGAATCTCTGTCTTTTCAGAATTTAGTAGTAGGAAATTACTAGTCATCCAATTTTTTATATCAGCTATGCATTCCGTTAATTTTGTGAATTGGTAAGTTTCGTTGGGTTTTGAAGAAATATACAGCTGAGTATCATCGGCATAACAGTGAAAGCTAACTCCATGTTTCCTAATGATATCTCCTAATGGTAGCATGTACAGAGTGAACAGCAGCGGTCCTAGTACTGAGCCTTGTGGTACGCCATACTGAACTTGTGATCGATAAGACATCTCTTCATTTACTGCTACAAACTGATAACGGTCAGTTAAGTATGATTTAAACCATGCTAATGCAATTCCACTAATGCCAACATAGTTTTCTAGTCTATTTAAAAGAATGTTGTGGTCAATGGTGTCAAATGCAGCACTAAGATCGAGTAACACTAATAGAGAGATACAACCACGATCGGATGATAAGAGCAAATCATTTGTGACTCTAATGAGAGCGGTCTCAGTGCTATGGTACGGTCTAAATCCGGACTGAAAATCCTCGCAGATATCATTTCTTTCTAGAAAGGAACATAGTTGTGAAGATACTGCTTTTTCTAATATCTTTGACAGAAAAGGCAGATTCGAGATCGGCCTGTAATTGACTAATTCTGTAGGATCAAGTTGTGGTTTTTTAACAAGCGGTTTTATCATAGCCAGTTTAAAGGTTTTTGGTACGTATCCTAGAGACAAAGATGAATTAACTACATACAGTATGTTGTTTTAAAATGTAATGGCATTCCTTTGTAAAGCATTATTGCTAATTAGATCTAGCCCTTAGTAGATGTAGCTGTGCTGTAATGTTCGGTGAAAAGAGTATTTCTGGAATCAATACAATCTGATGATATCATCATATCATTCCCACCCTTGATCTCCCCTTAAAATACACCCTTAGTGAGGTGACGCTGGTAACAGTAACTTCAACAAACACAGGCTTTCACAGGAAAGATGCCACCGAGGAGAATAATGGCCAAGAAAGATCATTAAAGTAAAGAGCCAAGATGTTTTTGCAAGTGGATTGTCTTGTATTACACTTCAGTATTAAAACTGCTGGGTTTCAAACCAAACGATCCACCTTATTTTTCAATGTGGAAGTAAGAAATTTCCTGTGAATGTGCAAGACTTTCGATGCATTAGCTGCTATAGGGAAATAACGAGAAGAATAACAAAGTACATAGTAAAATGTGACAAACCACCGTGCCTATATTGCAATCGTAAATAAAAATAATATGATAACAAATAATAATTGTCAAAACAGACAGCATAATTGTCTGTTTTTGTACAGCTATAATAACTGGAAGCGTCTGACATTGCATACCCTTACGTTAAAGTGGATATTTTGGCATTAGCATTTAGTTTGCGAAGAAAATGTGAGTGCTGCTTGTCCATGTAATCTCACCACCACAATTCTAGAATGTTGTAGTTATCCAGCAGTGTAAAAAATCCACAAAAATATAAAAAACATGCACCCAAAATTCAAGATGTGTGTGTAAGTTTATATTTATAACAAATTATATATATCAAAAAAAATTCCCCAAATATTAGCACAATTCCAAATGTGATATTGATTTTATACAACAGTTCAAAGAAGTTAATATTAAGTGACTTACATTCTAGAAACAATAATTGTCAAAAAAAAATTGCTCTGTTTTGCACACACACATCAGAACAATTGCAAGTCTCTGAACAACACACAGTGGTGTTTTGTTGAATGAAGAGGTTGAGTGAATAATTCAATGACCCATTCACAAAGATAGCCACTTGCTTAGTTCCTGAATGAATCCGCTGTTTTGAACAAGTCAGTTGAAAGAATGATTCAATGACTCAATCATTAAGACAGTGACTGGCAACTAACTACTGGTGGTTTTAGTTTCATGTTTAATATTATCATTTAATTGTTTCTATCATTTAATATTCCTATATTAAAAATAACCTGCAGAGTTCTATCAAAAACATGGTTTTTTGCGGGGGGGGGGGGGGGGGTTCTGGCGTAGTGAAAAATAGTGCAGCAAGAAGACATTTCTTCCTCATTCTTTTGTAGACACATAATTACAAATTGAGTTGACCTTGATCAAGAAAGTTACGGAGCTCAGTTCTAGAGAATATAGGCCTAATACAAAACTACAAATCACTAAGTATTAGCATAATAGCCATAGCAAATTCCTCTAACCAGACACATTTGATTTCTATTCATTTCGCATTTTGGCCCCATGAGGAAGTCATGGCTTCAAATTCCAGAATATTAAGGCACAAATATAACATGTTGCCCATAGGATCAGTAAGCAAAGCATATGAAGGATATCCACTCCTATAATGCTGGAGCAACTCCCTTCAGATAGCTGCATGCAGGACAGCTTGGACCTGCAACTCTGTGACAAACACATCTAAAAATTCATGCATCTGACCACAATGCCAAAAGTGCATGAGTTTGGATCAATGTTTAGCCTAGAATGAATATATTACGGTTTTATTAACCAGATCTGTGAAGTGAAGAGTATCCAGCAACTTGCACTAACTTTCATGAAAAGTACTCTGAGAATAAAGCTCAACCTTTCAGCTAAAATCCTTCATTATAAAACTCTAGGGATTCCAAACACTTTTGATCACGAGGACTCAAAAATCATGATGGCTTTGCAAAGGACCCCCTAACAGCAATTATTTTGCAATGATAAAGACACATACTGTGCAAGAAAAAAATATGTTAATAATGTTATATTAGGCTAAGTTATATTATGTTTACCATTCTTCCCTATTATTTACAAAAATGAGATGGGAGAGAAATTCTATTTTGATTGATATGTGTGTTCACTAGCAAAACCTTTGCATTCCCCCGAGAAGCATGCGTTCACTCAAAAACTATATTTCAAACTATATTCCTTTTAAAGGAACCTGGTGTTTTTATTTACTCTTTTATTAACAGTATAGCCTATTATTTACTGTTAAATATAATTGGCCTAGCCAAAGACTATTTTGGCCTATAGCCTATTTCTACAATATAGCCTTGTGTAATAATATATAGCCTATGAAATACAATACAATGTAATTTGCAAATATAAATAACATACACACGTTCCTGTTATTCTATTGAACTTTTTACTAAATGTAGACACTCTAACTGAAAAATTTCAATCCTTTGTAAGCCGGTTTCAGAATATAGATTTTGGGTGGGTTTTTATTCTTCTTCTTCTTGGTTAAATTAAAGGAATAGATCACTTCAAAATTAAAATTCTGTCATCATTTACTCACCCTCAAGTTGTTTTAAACCTTTCTTCTGCTGATCACAATGGAAGATGTTTTGAAGAATGTCGGTAACCAAACAGTTGATGGACCTCAAAGCCAATAGGGTCCATCAACTGTTTGGTTACCGACATTCTTCAAAATATCTTCCATTGTGTTCAGCAGAAAAAAGAAATTCATACAGGTTTAAAACAACTTGAGGGTGAGTAAATGATGACAGAATTTTCATTTTGAAGTGAACTGTTCCTTTAAGTTTCTTTGACATTGTATCTCTCAACAGGTGTGCATGGGATTTGTTACCACAATATTTAGACACATGCTTGAGGCGTGGCCTCTTTGTTTACCATTGCAGCTCGTCCCACCCACCTCGTTGACGTCATACACACCCAACCAATCGGCGTTGCTGTTTATACTCCTCAAGCTTTATAAAGTCTCTCATTTAAGCGCAAGATAACGGGCATTCGACAGCACAACAAACGCTGTCAAGTTTACGAGCATTATATTTGTATTCGTCCTGTGACGTATTCCATAACTTAGTCACTTGAAGAGATTTTACTTAGCCTAATATTAACATTAAAATGCGTCTGTTGGTTCTATGCGTGTCTGTTATTCTGGTGCCGTTGCTGTGCGATGCGCGTATCTCTAAGCGTTATGTGATCGGCTGTCCGGAGCGCTGCGATAAGAGTCTGTGTCCGCCCATACCGGCCGACTGTCTGGCCGGAGACATCCTGGACCAGTGCGACTGCTGCCCAGTGTGCGCGTCCGGCGAGGATGAGCTCTGCGGCGGGACAGGGAAACTGGGTGACCCGGAGTGTGGAGAGGGTTTGGAGTGCGCTGTGTCCGATGGGGTCGGAACAACGACCACAGTGAGGAGGAGAGGAAAGACCGGCGTGTGCGTGTGTAAGAGCCCTGATCCCGTATGCGGGAGTGATGGGGTGTCCTACAGGAACATCTGCGAACTCAAGAGAGTCAGTAACCGGGCGCAGAAACTCCAGCAGCCGCCCACCATCTTCATCCAGAGAGGAACCTGCGGGAAAGGTAAGACTGGCGTTCAAAACTACCTTGGAGTTTTAGGAGCCTTAAAATTGGAGAGAGTTTTGACGGCATTTCCATAACTAGAGCTACCTATACCTAAACAACATTTTTGAGTGTTACTATGTGAAAACATAGTGAGCTAAGCTTCCTAACTATTGTGAGTTCGCTAAGTGCACTATAAATCACATTGCATTGGTTTAATGATGCAGGGATTTAGTCTGCAGAAAAGTCAAAGCTATTGTATAGTGCACCAAATCCTATTTTTTTTCTAAATTTCATAATCATCTGTTAACAAACAAGTATTCATTACTTCAATGAGCTCATTGTTTCTGCATTAAATTATTACATTGTTTAAATTAATACCTTTTTCGCTAACTGTGATTTTGTATCTACATTTCTGAAATACATCATTTAGACAGTTACCTCTGATAACAGAACACTCTAAATTGTAATGTGGACTCATTCATTTTCTGTAAAGCTGCTTTGAAATGAAGTGTATTGTGAAAAGCGCTATACAAATAAATGTGAATTGAATAGTCAAAACACAAGAGCATTTCAGACAGAATATTAAATTCAATCCATTCCTTAAAGTCTAAGAAAAGTGTCTGACGTGCCCTAAAGCTTATATCTCGTTATCCTTACATACCCTCTCTTATAAAATGCTAATATTTTAATAATGTGACTTGTTGACATTTCGTCTACTAAATAATAATTTTTATTTTTTTTTAATTTATTTTCCGCTAATGAAAAAAATGTAAGTGCTGGCAGATTCTCAGGATCTGGTATTGCGTGATTTAAAATGGCTCCTTCTCAAGACGGTAAACACAGAAGCTTATTAGATCTCACCAGTTCGTTGGAAGACCCATTACCCGGGATTTATTCTTGGCACTGGAAACATACTGGAATAGAGTGCAAAAACACATCCACATAGTAGATAACCACACGAGGACGAGTTCTGGACCCTTCCCTGAAAGATGAGTCAGTTGTAGTTCATCCAGATTCTCCTGGAATTGCAGGAGGAAAAGTAAATTCAAAAAAAGAAGTTTCAGAACAGACAGTGTGGTCTCCATAAATAAATCCAGTGCTTCAAAGGGATCTGACCCATCATAACTCCACCAAACATTTCCCCCAAATTGTTATCCATAAATCAGAAATGCATTCAAAGCACATTTCTAAAGCTTTTACAGCGTTAAGAAACAGTCAAACGGTATTCAGTGACATTATGCTACCATCTAAGACCATTTTGGTGAGTTTCTAAGGATGACAGTACAGAAAGCTCTGATGGATAAGATCCAGTGAGAGTTTGAAATCAAGCAGGAATATGGAAAATTAGATCTCTGACAGCACACCTGGACCCTTTTATGTGGTCAAAGTTAGGCAACAGACAGCTCTAGGCTTTGCAATGGATCTGTAATGTACTAAACTTGTTTTGTTCTTCCGAACACACTGAACAAGCCTCTTCCAATGTGATTAATTAGGTGTTACCAGACCTTTTTGGACATAATGATTTCCAAATCAAGCCTGGCGCAGTCTGCTCAAATCCATGTAACCTGGCTTTCTGCGTCTTCCCTTTGGCTCTTTAAGTTATCACCTCACCTTTGTTCCGGTCAACGTTTGACTGGCCAAAGATAGCATTATACGTCAAGGGTGTTTGTGCACCCGAGTTCTGCTCAACAGTTCATCTAAGATCTACAGCCAAAACTCTGTTTCTACTCAGTCAAAAGCTATTACAGCAAGACATCTCCCATCACATGATGTAATCTACATCTGGAGTTCTTGAGGCTGGACATTATAGAAACCTATTCTCCGAAGATCCAGATCTAGGTCACATTTTACAGTCTTTGAGCTGTTTTTGCACATTTTCAGAAGACATGAATTTACAGGCTTATGCCGTCAGTGCTGAGTTGTTACTAGTTACATGTAATCTGGATTACGTGATCAGATTCCAAAGTAAGCACTTGAAATTATGTTTTATGATACTCGTAATCAGACTACAGATACTTTTTTATTGATTACATGATTAAATGTTATTCTCACAATGGCATTATTCATAATTCATTGATTCTCCTTACTACTTATTTTTTATCTTTTAAATGTTGCTTTCTAAAAAAGGCTACTGCTTACATACGCCAACACAGGAGAATACATCAATATGTTTCTAAATATGTGAAGTGATGTTCATCGCAATTTCAAAATTAAACCCTCGCTTTGAGTTTGCATGTGTTAATATCCACAGGTTCTTGTTCAAGAAATTACAGTGGCCTTGACATTGAAAATAAATGTTTTAATCCCCGCCCCATGCATTACATTCCTCATATTTCATCTAAAGCTCTTCACTGATACTATTGTGCACTATGGTAGAAAAGTACACTAACTTTTTTGGATAAGGATAACATGGATAACCACAATTAAAAATATACACAAAGGGCATTTGAAAAGTAGCCTGATAAATAAATGACGATTTGCCTGGTTAAAACCAGACCATTCTCAGTTGTAACTGAGTTATGGTCTGGCAAAGCGTCATAGACAAATCATTTCCAGAGGGGCGTCACCAACGGACGTCGCGGATAGACCTAAAACCAATCAGAGCGATGAAGGAGATGACGTATGCAGAGTGGCGGAAAAACATCTCCGAGTGTTGTTCTTTGCTCGGTTTTTAACAAAAAGGAAAAGTTAAAATCGCTTAAAACAGACGCGATAGCTGATTCGAACGAGTGATGTTCGACGGCGGCATCCATCTTTGTAATGTAGGCTACAAAATCTGCTTCAAAATCCCAGCGCTGTCGTCATTGTGTAAAGCCCGCCCCAACGTTTCTGATTGGTGCCGCGATTTCGGCGGATTGGAAATGGGCTTGAATGAGCTCTTTGCCAGACTAATTTTCAGAGCAAATCTAAATTTGCCGGAAGTTGTCTGGGTTTTCCATGGCATGGTAAGTTAAAAAACTTTATATAACAACAACTTATATAACCAACTCCTGGCACATAAAAGTGCCCATAGATGAAGAAACACCCTTAAATGATGTCAACGCCCCTGTGATGAGAGGACTAGGGGTCTTGCCCAAACACTTACATTGTTGTACGCCCAAATGATCCATGAAGGACATATGTGTGATATCATGTTTTTGAAATTCCCCGAACTGAAAAAATAAATAGTGCATTTGCCTTTAATTGCTGACAGACATCAAATTTTGAGTTAATGGCAAGATGATCAGTGGTGTGGATTTTCACTGACTAAATGGAGTTTTTACTGCAAAAAGAGTGTCTGTCTCAAACATAAGCCGAAGTAGAAGTAAGGGTGTTATGCTGCATTAAGCCAACTCTCTTTGGTTTGCCCCAAGTGCTGAGTTTGCATCAGAGGAGGAAATGCATTCCACAAGCCAATCTCAGATGGTGGCATGCAGAGTATAAGAACTGCAAGGAAAATCTTATACCTTCAGTGCAGTTCTGGGATCAGGCAAAATACCACTGATGTGGAAAAGGGCATATACGCTTTAGAAATGATGTACCCTCGGGATCATTTAACCAAGACTTTTAATCACTTTACAGTAAATGTAATGCTTCCAAGTATAAGACAAGCTAAGTCATGCATCACTATTACTATTGCTCATGTTTATGGTTAGTGATCGGAACAATAAGTACGTTTTAAACTCATCCCACAAGTCTATCATACAGACATTAATGATACCTCAAACCACTTGTTGGAGAGAGGTGTACCTTACTAATAGATTGGATGGTTTTAGCATAGTGGATGATAAAAGTGGTGAAAAAATATGCATAGACTTACACTGAATTTGCAACTAGTATTTGATTTTGACTGTAAATATCAAGTCTAAGTTTCTTATTCTTAAGAATAAAAAAAAACACATATATAATATATATTTAAAAAATCCTTTTGACTTTTGGTTTTTAATAAGAAAATAAAATGATTTACAGTATATTTGAGAGAAATTCGATTAATTGCTCTTATACAACAATAGGCTGCTTGATATTACATTAATGCATATACCATGCAATATAATTAATTGTCTTGAAAATGCCATAATCTTGCAAAACATTCCTTCAAGAATACATACATTTGCTCCTAAGCACTAACACAACTTAAAGCTGCAGAGCTGCAATTTGAAGCAGTCTTATGTACCCTTTATAGACAAACCTCATTCTTTACATGGCTGAGAGAACAAAAAGTAACATGGTCTTTATGTCCCCACTTAAATTTTTTCTTACATTTTTGCTTTTTGGCAAGTGCCTCTTTCCATTCATCATGTTCTTCTTTGCCTCATAGCGTTGTTAACGTCACTCACACTGTATTTCGAGTGAGTTCACTTTCACTTATCACTTTCTATAATTTACAGATTTAAATTTTATTCTACAACATTATTAGTGGTTCAATTTTTGTATACAGTATATGAGATAATTAATTTAAAGTGGTGATTTGGGGCTCCTCCTGGTTGGCCCATTTGCATGGCATCCACTGCACCAACCATAACATATAAGCTTCAAGAAATATTTCACTTATAATCATCATCTTTAACACTGTGCTCTTGAAAGATTAATGACATGTGGCTGCACGCATGCTACTGTTGGTAAGGAATCATCTCTCTGTTTAAGCCAATAGGATGTGATCTACTAATAGCACACAACAAACGACATTACATCACAACTGTCTCTAAGTCTATGTGCAATCCTTTATAGTTGGCAAAGGCAGCGACGATGACACAATTGAGTTTACATGAGGCTAATGACATCTGTTTGTTTGCATAGTGCATCTACGACAGTTCCCCCATTCATAAAAAGAACTGGCCCAAATTCCACCTGGAATTTCTGAATTCTGAATCTCCACATGATTTATAGCCTGCTAGCTGTAATCCGAATCATGTTCAAACACAGTAGTCTGGTGGCCATCAAAGATCTTTGATACTAGATCTTTGTTTCACAACAAAATAACACATGATAAGTTTGTGAGGGTTCTTATGTCATATCAGCACAATATAAACTGTCTGAAA